CTTTTCAAATCCAAAGCTTTGCCTCACAAGGCCTTTGACTGGGGGTTCATCATGCCTTCGCCCTCTACAGTTGCGGACTGTGAGGCGGGGGATGCTGGCGGCCTAGACACAGGAGCCTTCTCTGATCAAGTCAGACTCTTCAATTCTCTTCAATTCTGGGGAGGCCTTCTTCTCGATGCTGGACGATGTCTCCCTGGGGAGGCGTTGTGTTTGTCAGCTCGGGATGCCCAAACACCCCAAACTTTAGCCTCAAACCAACCCAGACTCGAAGGCCTAGAAACCCCCTTGATACTGCCTTGATACTGACAGGTCAGCCACAAAACAAGCAGTGCAAGTTGATTCCCAATAGATAAGCGACGGATTTGGGGGCCCTTGGCAGCCATGGCTTATGTACACCAGCAAAGTTTAGTTGGCAAAGATGTCTTGAACAGTATCTTGGCTCCTACAGACACGCTGAAGTACAAAATGTAGCAAGCTGAAAACATGTAGCTGTAGACGCCGAAGCAACCGCCGGTTCTAAAGAGGCTCCTTCACACAAACGGTCTCCAAGCTGTATGAGACAAGAGACGATGGCCTTGCCCCTAAGCTTAGACCATCCTGAACCCTCTTAACCCGACTCGCCTCAAGCCCTAAACCCTAAATCCCTAAGCCCTAGACACTAGAGCCCCAAGTCCTAAAACCCCGAACTCGCAAAACCCTGCAACCCTACAGCATCCTACAGCCCTCAAGTCCTGAAAGCCACCCCACAGCCCCTGAAAGCCTCAATTCCTTGACCCTAAACCCTGAACCCTGAACCCTGAACCCTGAACCCTGAACCCTAAACCCTAAACCCTAAACCCTAAACCCTAAACCCTAAACCCCCTGAGACCCTGGAGGTTTCTGCAGAGGGAGGAGACACAGAGGCCGGGCGCCACTGGCTGGGCCGAGGCCTGGATTTCCGCTTCTGGTTCCTATGATGTGGTAGGGCTTGGGGTTTCGGTCTTAGGGCTTAGGGCGCTTAGGGCTTTTAGGGCTTAGGGTCGAGGGCTTAGGGTTTAGGGCATAGGGTGGTCTGCTTCTGGTTCATGCTGGGAAATAATTGCTGCTTTACCCTGGTTATGATCCTTATTGTTATGATGATTGTTGTCATATCATTGTTATCTTGTTCTATTAGAGCAAGAAGCACTATCATTAACACCAGATTCCCCAATATCATATGAACAACCACAACCGCTATCGTTATCATCATCATCATCATCATCATCATCATTAACATTGCTATTTCCATTATGATTCATCTGGGAAATTAGTAATTGAGGTTGTAAATAGAAAATAGAACCTCGTAATTAGCAACTAGTGATTAGGAACTAGGAAAGTTTACTTTGCAATTTGTGTTTAGTAAAGATGCAACTTGTAGTTAGTACTTAGTAAGTGGTAATTAGCAATTAGTCATCAGTTATTAGTCATTAGTCAGTAGTATTTAGTACTTAGTACCCAGTAATTAATAATTACCAATTGGCAAATATTTGTAATTAGTAATTAGGTATTTTCGTTGTATTTTGCTTAGCATTCTGAGTAGTATCTTCACCAGAATGAGTGTGAGTGTCAACAGCAGTGCCATTAAGATTTGTGTCAGTATGGATCAGTAATACTTGCAAAGCATGATGCAACAATTAAGTATTAGCACGAGTGCTAGTTATGATTGCCAGTGCCGTTGTGATAATCGTTGTGCTTGAATTTTGGGGGTTAGCGGTTTGTCAGGTTCCGGATTGAGCTGCAAGCCCGAAGAACCGCCTCACAGGCTCTCAAAGCACCCCTGTAAACGTCCCCAAGATCTTCTGTTTCAAAACTAAGCCCCAAAACCTAAACTTTCCACAGGGTCGCGTCCGGAGTCGAAGCCAGGCGCCCTGGTTGCGCCAGTGGGGCTCACACGCGCCGATCAGCGCTTACCTTGCCTCCCGCCTCGAGGCGGCTGAGAGTTTGGGGGGAGATTTCTCGTTCTCTTGCCGCTAGTTGCCTATTGAAGAGGCGAAGGTTCGATCTGTCCATGTGAGCTTCTGGTTCCGGCGTGGCAGACAACGGAAGGTGCTTCTGCTGCAGGGCTATGCCTCGCGGGGCCAGGCGCGTTGTAGTGTCGCCCGTAACCGCGAAAGCTCTTTTTGTGTTGATTTAGCTTGAGACTGCAAAGGGTTGACGACTCTGGACGGACTTCACAAGTTTCGTATCAAGTCCTCCGTGCTGCCACAGCAATTGCACCCTCGAAGTTTCCAGGAAGTTCCCAGGCAGCAGGGAAGGCCTCGGATGTGCAGCATGATCGTGGCAATGATCTTCAGCCTGCTGGCTACCTGCGCGGCAGTGGACTACCGCTCAGGATGCACCGTGCTTCCGAAGAAGCAGTTCCTGGGCAATGACCGGTGTGTACATCGCCTGACTGACATGATGCAGTCGTCATTCGCATGGAGCATGCTCGTCGATGAAGGGAATGTCTTCATGTGGGACAAGATCATCCAGTTGACGAACGAATACGATTATGAGTTCAGCAAGTCCTGGAAGACGACCTCTGCGCTGAAGCGCGTTGCAGTAAGCACGCTGAAGTCCATGCGTACATGGCGCCGAACTTTTCGCAGAGGCAGGCTTCGCTGCATGCTTGGTGTTTAGCTTAGCCGACAACCCCAAGTGCGGATCAGAACCTTTTTGCCATATCTTTGAAGCCCTGGCGCATGGTGTTCGCTGCGGGGCTCTTGGGTACTTTGAGGGTGGCTTCTATGGTGGAGCGCTTGGTGCACTCACGGGGTCTGCCAAGGGCGTCGTCGAGGCGTATGAGGAGAGCGGCCAGATCCGCGTTACTTTCAAGCCGGCCGGGCTGGAGCTCTGAGCGGCCAGAGCTGGTAGCTCTCCCGCTCCAGGCTTGCAGTTATGAAGCAGGAAGGTTTTTGGGCAGAGGCCAGAGGCAAAAAGACGAGCGTTTGTGCAGAAGGGTACAGGGTTTAAGGTGTGTGGGTTTAAAGCTGAGGATTAGTCTGGAGTGTGGATGGCTTACACTTTGCTGCTTGGGCTTTCTAGGTGGTGTTTTGGGATTCGAGTTCAACTCCGAGGCGCTGAAGCTGTAAATCCGAAATCAAGACCGGGGCGCCCCGTTCGCACTCGACACACGCGCGCTGGGAGGGATGGGCATGCGCCCGTCCTCTCTACAGAAGACAACAAATTGCCAACAAGTGCAGGACAACGCCTGGATTCTTGGCAGCTTCTTGAGGGCATCGAACATGACCAGCGCACCGTCAGCGGTTCAGAGTGTGACTGAGCCTGAAATCTCGCGGCTTGAAATGGTCCAGGCCTTCCGATCTGCCTGGATGATTTGTGCCACCGAAGCACAACCGACTTCCTGCGCCGGCTCAACATGCAGATATGCAATCAGTGAATGAACATCACTGGTCTAGCAGGCTTCGACGTTGCAAGCAAAACAGCAAGCTGAGTCGGCTCGTCTCTGCGTCAGGAACGCCGCCTCACCCTCATGCCTCCTCGACTCGCCCCGTGCCCCGCCGCGCAGAGCCACGCCGAGCCACACCGAGACGCGCGCATCCGTAAATACCGCTTCCCGTCCCGTGGCCTCGCCTCTCGCCTAGCTCATCTTGTTCTACTTTTACCCCAGCACAAACAGCACTGCCGAAGGTTTTCTCTTCCTCGCTCGTTTGCTTTCGCTGTCCCTCCGACCCCCCCCCCCCCCCCCCCCCCCCCCCCCCCCCCGGCGATCCTCGTGGATCCTCGTATACCCCCTTCCCTCCTCTCTGATCCCTTCTCCCCCGAAGTGGATAGGCAAACCAGGAGGGTGCGCTTTAATGAAACTTTGAAGCAGCCTTGGCTTTGGAGGCTGCAGAGCCCAGCCTGCCATTGGCGGAGGCCATGTGCTCTGGTGTGTAAGGCTGAGGGGTGCTGGGCTTTGGGTCTCTACAAGGCTCGTAAGGCCTTTCTGAGGAATGTGCTGCGCTTAGAGCATCCACGTCTACATCCTAAACCCTCAAGCCCGGACCGTCAACCCGAAACCCCCAATCCCAAACCTCCCAACCCTGGACCCTTAGCCTGCAACTGGCCAAGGTGTGGGCATCGATGCCGCCACCGCAGCGCCAGCGAACGATGGCGCGCCTGGGCTCGGGCCACAGGTGGTCAGGCGCCCTCAACCCTAACCCTCTGGAAGAGGCCGAGCCTTAAACCATTGCAATAAGTCTTAGGAACATAGCATTTGTAACCACGGAAAACTTTAAGCCCAAAATCCACACTACCCGCAGGTCATTGCTGCAGCGCTTCAATAGTTAGATTCCACATGTCTTCACCCTGACTTTGTGGGCCGGTTCCAAGGTCACTCGCTTCTGAGGCGGCTCTTCTCTGAGACCCACCAGGCCATGGCTTCCGGAGGCCTGGCATACATCTCCGCGTGGCCTTGCGAAGAGCTCTTCAGCTGCGCGGGGTATGTATCATTTGTTTGGCCGTTTGGGAGAGAGGGGGGTTGGTGTTGAAGAGGTTCGAAAGAATTAGAATTAGGTGCGGATGCTGTTGAAGCTGGGGCTTCAATTGCATAGAAGAGGAGGTTAGTATCCTCGGGGCATCACAAAACAGACAAAGGATTGGACATTGTTTCAACAATGAAATGATGTGGAAAGAGCCGTCTCTGGGCTTTTGCCAAGCAACGTGGCTTGTTGCAACCACTCCCCGAGTGCGCTGCTTGCATTCCAAGTGCTGGAGAAGAGAGGGTCCTGACCTCGCCAGGGCAGCGACAGAGGATTTTACCCGTAGAGATACTTCTATCTTGAGTGGCGGTGGAGGCGTGTCTTGAATTTTAGGGGCCCAGCAACCACATAAACACAAGGATCCTACTATCGGGTCTCTATGAAGGGGATTCTGGACAAGCCTGCTTGTAGAATTTGTATGTTTATGGCCCCCCTAGAGATTCCTGTTGCTAACTAACCCCCACGTGGCACTTTGGCTCAGAGCGACGCAAACCGCAAACTGAACCTTTCCTCCGAAAAATGCGGCGCCTCTCGGCTTGGAGCTTCTTTATAGGGTTTAGGGTTTAGGGCTTAGGGTTTCGGATTCACCATGATGTTCCGAAAATGTGTTTCAGGCCCGAAATTTGCCCTTAACCCTGATAAAACCCTAAACCCGAAACCCTAAACCCTAAGCCCTAAACCCTAAGCTCTAAGCCCTAAACCCTAAACCCTAAACGCTAAACCCAGGCTTGACATGGCTCGCGGTCCTCTGCCTAGCACACGGCGAGCTGGACTTGGCCCGCGAAGGAGTGGATCCGGGAGCACCGGGGGGTCCCTTTTTAGGGTTTTTGGGTTTAGGGTTTAGGGTTTAGGATTTAGGGTTTAGGGTTAAAAAAACATAAATGGGGTGCGGCGGGGATTTCAGTTTCTTTGGAGGATTGGGGCTTGGTGTGTTTTTTTGGGGGGTTGATCGGCAGAAGAGGGTTGGTGTTTCTTGCGAGAAAAAAGCAAAGCTCCGTTGAGGAGGTGACTGCGCCTCATCGCCGCTCGGAAGAATGGTCCGTGGCGGGTTCGGCCTTCGGCGATAAAGGGATTGTTGGGGGCCAACCGATGCAGATGTGGGATGTCGATGGATGTCCCATGTTTCAGGGGGAAGCCTCTCATTTCCTTCCTGGCCCAGAGTATCCTTGAAGCCCAAGGTTTGTCCAGCTGACAAAGGCGACGGCGGCTTCGCAGTGGCTGTTTCAGGGTTTTTTGTACCGGAGTTCAGGGGCGATGTGTTTGCAGATTCGGAGCACTGTGGTGCTAAGACCCTGAAGATTCTGCAGATCTTCAAGTCATCTGTGGGCTCGTGCGAAATTTTTGTGAGTGTCCTCTGCTGATGTGTCGCACCCCGCATGGGGAGGAGCTTATCCCTGGAGCCAAAGCGCCTTCACCGGCAGCGACGCTGCGAGAAAGGCAAAGAATGTGAACCGTGCTATCAACCGCAAAATGCAAAGCCTCTAAGCCCCAAAAAACCTCTAAGCGCCCAATCCCAATCCCCATACCCTAAAACCATAAACCCTCATAACCCTACAACCTCAGCTCTAATCCCTAGCCCCTAAAACCCTAAACTTTCAAACCCCCAAACCCTGAACCACTAAACCCTTACTCCCAAAGGAAAATACAAGTCTTACACATCTCCCTGAGTCGTCTTCAGCCCGTATGATGGGGGTTAATCTTGGTCCCTTTATGGAGGTACTTGAAATATGTGATTCCATTTCACCAAATGAACCCCAACAACCCTAAACCCTAAACCCTAAACCCTAATTTGGAGAGCCGCCCTAGACTGCGAGCGATACGATCGCAGGCTGCGCGAGCAGCGCCCGATCCCTCGAGCATTTGGCATCGGCCTCATATGGCAGATTCCAGCAGGGTTCGGCTTGTGTGGGCATTGTGAAGGGCTCGTGTAAGGTTGTTGTGGCACCCTAGGTACGCTTTAGTTTCTGAGCGGCTTCTGTACGCAACTTGAGCATGCACCTAAAGTATGAGGCCGGGGGGGAGGGGGGAGGTTGACAATTTCATTCAAGCTTCGGCAAAAACTAGGGTTTCAGGCATTTTCACTTCCTGCTCCACATCATCTTCAAGGTAAAACGCAGGCCTCGGAAGTTCAATCATCCCCTCCCGCGCCGCTCCCTCCTCCCTCCGTCCCTACCTGCCTCCCCTTTCATCGCCTTTCCTAAAATCAAGAGGGGGAGGTGGACATACGTTTCTTCAGATTTCTGGAGTGATGAGGCTTGCAGAAAAAGCAGGCTGTCGTGGCTTGAGGGTGTGGAGGGTTCGAAGAGCTTTGCCAGAACTGGTAGTGCAAAAGACGGCCTGGGAGCACGAGCGCGCGCCAGGAATCTACAGACTTGACTGTACACTTCGCACACTTTGGGTTCTTGAGCTGAAGGTGGCCTGCGGCGAGCTGGCGAAGCTGCAGAGGCTGGAATCACCTGAAAGCTCGGGCATGGAGAGTCTCGAAGAGGCCGTCTCTTGTTGACTTTAGCTCCTTGGCTCCTGGAGGCTGAGGCCATCCTGGACATCTTTCGTGGAGTGGCTGCCTTCTTCCACAAGCTTGTGACGCCGGAGACATGAGATCACATGACCCATTTGAGATCACATGAGAACACAGAAGCCAACCCAAGATTTTGCAGGATGAAGGCCGCAGCGGACCCTAGATCTTGCTTCGATCGTTGCAGTGCGCAGGAGGAGCAGCCCGAGGGAACCCTCATGAAAGACATCTTTCGATCCGAGGCAACAGTCTGACGGGGTGGATCATGCCGCAGCTTCTAGAAACGCGTCATCCGTGTGCACTCCATCTTTTGCTCGCTGTTTTGCACGGCCTCTTTTCCTCCAGGCCTCGGTCGCCCATACTTACCGCTGAGGCCCGCGACAGATTTTGGAAGTTTTTCACGTTTGCAATGGAGCAGGAGGTGTGGTGTAAGTGGTGTAAGGGCGGCTGCATGTTGTCATTCCATTACGGATAGGATAGTTTTTCCCCATTCCCGACACGAAAGCACGCAATTATCTGAACATGCGTTTTGATTGCCCTCCTCATAAGCCACGTGGAACGGCAATAGGGTTTTATTGGCGGGTTTGTGCAAGCTGACAGAAACCAGCGAAGAACAGCACCTGCGAGCCAAACTACTATGGACGCAGGCCGCACATCGGCAAGCTGCGGTGCAGTTGTGAGACAGGGATTCAGAGAAGGAGGCGTTTCAATCCAAGGCTCAATTTGGGCTGAAAGCTGGCTGAAAGAATCAGCTCTTGACTTTTCAGCATAGAAGACACTGGTTCTTCAGGGTATTGGCCCTGATCCCTTTGAATCTCAATCTCTCTGTCTCTGACTCTACCTTTCTCTCTCTCTCTCTCGGTCTCTCTCTCGGTCTCTCTCTGTCTCTCTCTCTCTCTCTCTCTCTCTCTTTCTTTCTAGAGGCGGAAGTTTCTGTCCGATCCCCACAGCCACCAAATCTTCCCATTTGCAGCATCGACACCGGATTGAGGGCGAAGACAGAACCCTCCGAACCTTGTTCCAGCCGGGTGCCCCCTGGCAGTGCCCAGCGGGCCGGCGCGGCTTGTTCATAGAAGCGTGGCAAAGGCAAATACCGAGGCTAGGCGAGCCTCCTCCCTAGGCGAGCTTGTAGAGATGCGCCAGATGTCGGCGGAAAAGAAGCTTTCCAGGAGTCTGAAAGCTGTCATAGTCTGAAAGCTGTCATAGTCACCACTCCGACGAGTTCCCGGGGAAGTCCAGTTTCAGTTCCCCAAAAGGATATGTCAGTTCACGAGCTGCCTGCTTCTCTTCCGCCTTTCAGCGGCCATGAAGCTGGTACCTGAAGCCCTGCAGTACAGCTTCTGGACCTCCCCTTGAACCAGGAGACGGAGACGAGGACGCGACTCCTCGTGGCCTGGCGCTGCTGCTCGAGGCGCCCGAGGCTCCTCTTCTGAGCCGCCTCAGGGGATTTCAGGGGTCACTGTTTGGGGTTTCGATTCGGGTGTGTAGGCTGTGTCGGGTTGAGGGTCTGGGGCTTTTGGGGGGTCACTCATATAGAATTGCCACGAGCAGGCATCGGCCCCCTTCTCTGCTAGTGCTGTTGGGGACCTCGGTGGATTGGCGAGTACTTCTTCTCATCTTTGTGGTCTGACCTCATCCCTCGGATGGAAACGAACCCACCTGGAACCATGGCAGGCAAACCCAGAATCCCAGAGCCCCGAGACCTTCACATTCTTACGCATGAATGTGCATGCTACCTTGCTCCACTCACCTGGCCCTAAACCCTAACCCTAAACCCTAAACCCTAAACCCCAAACCCCAAACCCCAAACCCTAAACCCTAAACCCTAAACCCTAAACCCTAAACCGAAACCCTAAACCCTAAACCCTAAACCCTAAACCCTAAACCCTAAACCCTAAACCCTAAACCCTAAACCCTAAACCCTAAACCCTAAACCCTAAACCCCAAACCCTAGCTCGACAGGCCCTGGCGCTTGGGTCCGCAGCAGCCGCGTCGCCGCTGGAGTTGGTTGCGGCGGCTGCTCGGCGGATCTGAAGTTGGGAAGTTGGGAAGTTGGGGAGGTTTTGCGAGGAGGTTAGCTCTGTTCACAGTCTTCTTGGTCTCCTGGGAGTCCCTAAACCCTAAACCCTAAACCCGAAACCCGAAACCCTAAACCCTAAACCCTAAACCCTAACCCCCTAAACCCTATCCTCCATGGGCTTCCGCCCAGGTCTCATCTTCGCCGCTTCGATTCGCCGCAGAGGCGGCCGAGTCCACGAGCAGCGAGGTCCATGGAGGGGAATTTGTTAGTTTGTTCGGGTTGAGGGTTTAAGCGGGTTTAAGGCTTAGGGCTTAGGGGCTTAGGGTTTTCGGGGTATAGGGTTTTCGGGGTTTAGGGTTTAGTGTTTAGGGTTTAGGGTTTGCTTGGGTTCTGGAAAGTTTCGTGTTCTCCGAGTTTCCTGTCTGTGGAGGCTTTGTGGGATGTTGTAGAGGCATAGGGCGGTGGGGGGGGGCAGTTCCCAGGATGTCAGGCTTGAAAGCTTCTGATACATTTCGGCTGTCCTGTCCAGGTGTTGCTTTCCTCACCCTGCCTGTGGCTGCACCAGCAGTTTGCGGAGGAATTGGCCATCGCGTGGGAAGCCCTGGGGTTGCTTTTGGGCTTTAGGCTTCAGTTTTCCATGTTCAATGATTCAACAAGGGGCATTCCTCTAGGATCCACACGCAAAAAAAGATTTGCTTATGGCTCGGGGAGCTCGGCTTGTGCTCGGACACGCCTGTGGTGGCCCCAGGTGCTCGGAGTACTCGGCTGCGGCGTTGCTTGTGAACCCACCGCAGGAGGAGCCCAGGCGAGCATGGGCTTCCTGCATGCAAAGTTTTTTTGGGGCTTCGGGGTGTCGTCTCGTAACTTCTCTTTCTAGCAGGTGTGGTGGCTTCCGTTCTTCTCAATTCAACAGCTTCTGTAGCTACATGGCCAGTGAGGGCTCTACTTAGCATCATGCTCTGCAAGGCTTCTTTCGCAGAGCAGACCAGATAGAACCTGAACCCCACAGTCTTGGTTCCTTTCTTGGAGGCGCCTATCGAAGAAGCAGAAGCAAAAGCTTCGTCGAAGGAGTGTTGATGCGGCATGAGCAGACTTGAATGGTTGTGAGCTGCGTCGTGTCAGTGGTTCCATCGTGACTTCAGAATCTCAGAGTCTCTCCGGGGGGCAGTTCCGGCCGAGCTTGCCAGCTGAGCAGACAAGCCGTCAGTTCTTTTCTCTGCTCTTTTCGATCTCTTGCTGTGGAAGGAAGGCGGAAGAAGAAGCGTTGCAGGCAGCAGCAGCAGCTGAGGAGAGCGTGCTCATGGACTCAGAGTTTGGAGTTCGCACTGATTGCCCTCTTTTCACCATTTGTGGCTTGGTCTCTTCGTAACTGCATGCCTGGCGACGAGCATGTACACGGCTGCTAGATGCATCTTACACCTCTTGAAGCCCATAATTGGACAGCTCACCTATGTGTGCCACAGCTGGCGTCTGACAACCGGTGTTCTTGATACTTGGGCAAATTGCAACACACGAGATTGTGTAGGAATTGATTCCTGACTACTGCGCCGGCCACGTGCTGTCATCCTCTGTGGCTTCACTAGTTCCTTCAGACCTCTCTGTGCTATGACCTGCACCCCCCTGAACTGCAAATCCACAACCCCAAGCCCCGCAACCCTCTTCAACACGAACCTGTTGCAGCGCCTCCTACAGGAGCCCAAGACGCCGCAAGGGGCTCGGTTCGTGTGGCCTCCGCAAATGGCACTGACATGCAAATCAGCTCACATGTCACAACCGGCACCTCTTGAAAAAAGGGACCAAAGCCGTAAAACCAAAAAACATCTAAAACCCTAAGCTCCTAAACCCCCCAAAAGGCCCCAAAACCGCTGGACCCCCTCAAGTAGCCCCCCAAATAGCAGGACCCCCTTGATAGATATGGACCAATAAAGGGCATCCCGGTATCCCCCTGATGCGGGGCTCCCTGCAGCACTCAAAACCAAGGCCAAGGCCGGCCTCCGCCGAGGTGCCCACGCCCCTCTCCCTCTCCCCCCCAGAAATAACTGTACATGTGTAAATAAATAAATAGAAATATAGAAGAAAAAAAAAATATATATATAGATATATATATATATATGTATATAGTCTGCTAACCTAACACTTGTAGATCTCCACAGGCTAGAGGACTTCCACTCACGGTCCCACAACAAAAGTCCATCGCATATCCAGCGCGTACTACACCAAGATCCAAACCACCAACCCGAGTCAACTCACCGTCGACAACTCCGGAGTCCGCTGCACATCACACCCACAGGGCCTTTGTGCTTCCTTACAGCTTCGCAGGGTAGCTGTTCGTTCCGTTCTTTTGGGGTAAGCTTAGAGGCTAGGGGGGCTGCCAACATGCACTAGTGCAGGTTACCTTTCAAAGCAGATGGAAGAACAGAGACGAACAATAGATACCTAAAGTATAGGGGATCAGTGAGACTTTTACAGATGCTTATGGAGTATTACCTTCAGCTGGTCAAGTGCGATACCGGCAACTTGCATCACTTCATTAGCTAAGATCAAGCAGACAATCAGGACCCTTTGGCCCCTCTGCGATTCGGTGGTGCCAGAGGAATCAGTGAGGATGTCGGCAGCGTCAGGCTGCAATGCTGAGCTTTTGATGTTCCGGGTTTCCGGTGTTTCCCGGCGGCCGAAAGTCTGACAATCAGACAGATCTTGAACGCATAAACACCCTCAAAGCCTCAACCACCTGTCAGAAGGGCGATGAGTGAAATCCTGAACCTTAACCCTACATTTTTCAGTCTCGGGCTTCAGTCTATCGATGCCAGCGACAGTGAAGGTCTGACAGAAGTTCGCTGGGTGGCCCTGCAACAACAAGGCGCGTTCAGGCTAAGAAGACCTCCTTAGCCGAAGGGTTTCCAGAGTTAAGGCTCTCGGTTTAACCCCTAAACAAGAAACACCTCATGTCATGGTCTGTAAAAGTCAAGTTGCACCGATGCATGTCAGAAGAAGACCCGGTATCTCATGCGGAGACTGTCATTCCGTAGAGGCAGCAGCCCGGAGTTTGGGCTCTTTTTCTTTTTAAGCTCCCGCCTCTCAGAGCCGCAAAAGGAGTGCCTTGACACACTAAACGGACTATGAAGCCCAACAAAAAGCAAGCCTAAAAACCCTCGAATCCCACAAAAACACCTTGAGCCTTAGCCCAAAATCCCTTTGAGACCTTGGCACGAATGGGCCATGGAAGCAAGAATTTGTGTTGTCTCATTTTTTTTGGGGGGGGGGGGGGGGGGGGGTGCCCGGCGTCCGGGCGTCCTGCTTAAGCACGGAGCCCTCGGTCTTTTGGGGTACCTACCCAAGAAGGGACGAGACATGTGCTTGCTTTGAAGCCAGAATGCTAGGTCGGATTCCGTGAACTCGCTACGCGACTTCGGCGTGGAGTCCCTGAGGTAACGGGTCTACTCGCCACGGCTCGTCTTGTACTTCGGGTCGGGATTTGCCTGTTCCGGCTTTGCGAGAGCGCCAGGAACTCTGTTTGGCTTGGGGGGTGTTGACATATGCCCTAAACCCTAAACCCTCCAGTGCTTTGGGCATGTGTTGATGAATGCCGACGTGAAGCTTGGCGCGGCTCAGACATGAGTGGGGAGAATGCCCAAGATGTAGCTGCTCTCAACGACTCCGCTCCGCCATGCATCGTCGATGACCTTCCACGTTGCCAGCCTACGGTAGATGAGGCTCCTTGCCAGCAAATCGGGTGCAGGTGGGAACTGACAAGATAGCGACTGTATGGACGGGCTGTCTGTGGGAGTTTTTTTAGGGAGGGCGGAGCAGTCGAGGTGAAGATTCAGGATGTGAGCGCCATGTCATGTCATACCGTCTACCAGAACCATCTCACCTGCTGCAGGAACAGGGCATACAGCCGGCGCTGCCCGCACACGGGTCCCTGGCGGAGGTGCGCTGAGGAAAGAATCTGAGTGCTTGGAAGTGGGGTGTGCGAGGCAAGTGTTTGCTTAGATACATGTTGTAACAGAACATCCCTTCGCAAAAGGACCCCCAAAAGGAACCCGACTGCCGAACAACCCCGAGCTGGGAGGCACTGGCTGCGCGATTCGAGATCTTCAGTGAAAGGCTGGACCCATATTGAGTTGATTCTGTGTCGAGATCATGCCGGTAATGTGTCCTAGGACCTACTCGTAGCAAGTTAGACCCATGAATGCCGAAAACCTGGGAGACGTGGAAAGCCCCGAACGGTGCCGAAGACCTGTGAAGCTTCAAAGCTCGGTTCTCCACATTGGGGTCCTCTTTTTAAGCACCTACCGAACTCTGACCACCTGTCATGTCAGCACCCAGAGGCCATGCCTGGGCTGCCGCACTGACGACTCGTATCACTGGCTCCACGGCGGGATCGGGATGGCCGCGGGTTTCAGATATTCTCGGGTCACCACACTCTTCCGCATAAGTTCCTGGAGCTGTAGACGAAAGCAACATCTATGGGTTCGCAGACGCATTACATCCCCGGGCCAACAGTTTCGAGCTATGGCCTCGAATCTCGCACATTCCCATTCAAGGCACTGGTGGAGTGGGGCAATTCTTGGTCCTTCGCTTTGCCTACACTGGCAAGTAGGGGAATGAATATTGAATATTAGCGAGGCTTTGGGGGAGGAGGGGGGGGCATGGTTGAACTTCTTAAAGCTGGCGGGTCGGTCTGTCGGGGGGTGGGGGGGCGGGGGGAGGAAGAAGTCGGACTTGGTCGTCGCGCGCTTCAGTTGCGCAGACTGCTGCGCTTTGCTTTTGTTGTCAGAACCGTTAGGTGGTATTGTGGTGTCGGAAGGGTCTTGCAACGACAAGGCCTGCAGCTCCTGCATAAATGGTTAGATCGCAGGTTGTTGCTGCTACTGCCTCCTGCAATTATTTTCGTGCTGCTCCTCCTGCTACTATTGCTGGTACGAAATACTCACGGATCTTCCGACGACGACGACGATGCTACTACGACGAGCATTACTACTACTACTACTACTACTACTACTACTACTACTACCACTACTACTACTACTACTACTACTACTACTACTACTACTACTACTACTACTACTACTACTACTACTACTACTACTACTACTACTACTACTACTACTACTACTACTACTACTACTACTACTACTACTACTACTACTACTACTACTACTACTAATACTAATACTAATACGAATACGAATACGAATACGAATACTAATACTAATACTAATACTAATACTAATACTAATACTAATACTAATACTAATACTAATACTACTTCTACTACTTCTACTACTTCTACTACTTCTACTTCTGCTTCTTCTGCTTCTACTACTTCTGCTTCTTCTGCTTCTACTGCTACTACTACTACTACTACTACTACTACTACTACTACTACTACTACTACTACTACTACTACTACTTACCTAAAGCCTCCACCCAGGCTCTCCTACAGCCGTGTCTATGCCCAGGCCAAGAAGGCCGGGCTGGGGCTTGGGGCTGTTTCGAGGGGGTTGAGCTGGCAATGCTGAATCCGATGCCTTTATCCCTGCCTGTGGCGCTAAAGCATTAGGGCCCTGAAGTCCTAAGCAGGGTACGGCTTGCGACCGTGTTCCTGCCTAAGCACTTCTTCTGTGTGCTCGCTACACAGTCTTAGGGCTCAAAGTCCCTCTGCTTTGGGCCTGATGGTCAGGCCAATCAGGCCAGAGTTCCGAATCTTGGGCTGTGTACTTGGCCCTCAACTCCTGCAAAGCTCACAGGTCTCTGGGGCTCTGCAGTCGGAGCTTCCGCCCGGGTCCTTGGTGGGTGCCTCTGTGGAAAGTAAAGCCCTAGCAGATTGGGGGTGGAAGGTGCAACTTTGAGCGGTTTAGGGCTTAGGGTTTCGGCTTCAGGCGGGTTTGCAGGGGGGCTTAGAGGGGTTGAGGGTCTAAGGTCGATGGTGTGTTTAATGGAGTGT